ACTTAGAACTAGGGCTAAAATTCGATTTAACTTAGAAAAATCTAACTTTATAAATTTAATTCATAGGCCTTTACTTATTTTATATAATAAAATTATATATTAAAGATAGATTTAAATTTTAGAAGCTTAACTTTAATGCGAGAAAGTAATTAGTTTAAAACTTTATATTTTATAAAGTATTAATTATATACAAAAATAAGAATAATATTAAACGCTTTATTATATAAAATATATATTAATTATATAAAAATCTCGAAGAATATATAGAGCTTATATATAAAATCTTTATTATTATTTAGAAGAGTATAAGAGATAAAATATACTTTAATAAGCTAATAAAAGATATTAAAGAAAAAATGGTATAATATTATTATTTATAAGATATTTATTTAAATAATTATAGAATTTTAGAAGATTAATATATTCTAAAAAATCTTTTATTAAATAAATAATAAAGACTTAAGAAGTTGTAATCTCTCTCGATATAATTTAGATTAACTCTATATTTTAATTAAATATTAACTATAATCTTAATACTAAGTTCTTTTAAATAGACTTTATTAAAAACTTTATTAACTAATATCTTATTTTTAGCTATATAGCTAATCTTATCGATATTATTAATAATAAACTTTTTAAATATTAGATATTTTAAAATTAAGATATTAATAAAGTTAAGAAGTATAGAGATTAAATTATTTAAATAAATCGCTAAGCTATTTATTACTATCGCTTTTATTAATTATAAAATTTTAATTTTAATAATCTTCGATTTATATTAAAATAATACGATAGTAATTTTAATAAATAAATTCTCGATATTAAAGATAGCGATAACTATAATAGATAGAGAATAAATTAAATAAAATATTAATATTATCTTAAAAAAAGTAATAATACTATTAAGACTTTCGCGGTAAAATTCTTTAATCTAAAATTACTAGTTATTTAATATAAAAGTTAAAATTTTAAAATTAACTTAACGCTTAATAAATAGATAAATCTAAAAAATTATATTTAAGTCGATAAAATTTCTAGTATTATAATTACTCGCTAATATCTATCTTAAACTTATTAATATTTTTTATAGATTTTTCTTTAGTATTTAAGATAAGCTTTTTCTCGAGAGAGAAAGATATTATAGTCTATTTAAAATAATAGCTATATCTATAATTAAAGATATTAAAACTTAATATAGCTTAATATAACTTAACACTCGATACCTTAGCTATAACTTTTCTTAGAAGAATTATTATACTTATACTACTAAAATATTATATCTATACTTATAATATAATAATAATAATAACTTAATAAAACTTAAAACTATTTTATTCTATTCTTAATTTCGATTATTAATCTCTCTTACTTAAAATCGTAAAGAATTATAAAAATAATATATAAAATCTATAATAATAGATAGATATTAAACTTAACTTCTTATTAATTAAATAATATAAAAATAATTTCTTTAATTCGATTTATTTTAATTTAAAATCTACTTTTAATATAACTTCTTTCTCTTCTATTAAAACTTTATAATTATTTTTCTAAATTATAGAGCTTAATTTACGCTTCTTAATAACGTAGAAGATATAAACTTCGATTTTATAATTTTAGATAAATCTTAAATTAAATTATCTTTACTCTTCTAGAGTCGAATTAAACTTCGAAGTTATCTTTTATAAATTTAATTTATAAATATTTAAGCTTATATATTATAACGAGTAAAGGCTTATAAATTAAATTTATAATTTTTTTTTTAAATTAGAACTGTCGAGTAAATTTAATAAGCGGTCTTTAATAAGCGATCTTTAATAAGCGATATTTGAATTCCTTATCTTTAAAGAACTATAAGATTAAGTTTTAAGATTCTTTCGTATTTAAAAAGTGTAAATTAAGCTCTATAATTTAGAAAAATAATTATTAAATTTTAATAGAATATAGTAAAGTTATTAAAAGATTAAAAATAGAAAGAAAGATTTTAATAGTTATAAACGCTAATTTACTTATTTATAATATCTAATTAAAAAGCGTAGCGAACTCGAATTTATAATTAATTATATATATAAATTTAAGATTTTTTAACTTAGCTCTATCTTATTCTATTATATATATATTAATAAGATATCTATATATAATATCTATATATAGAAATTATTTTAAATAACGATTTTTCGAATTTATATAATATAGAATATTAAGTTTTATAGAGATATATTTTTAGAAAATATAATTAAAAGTTTATATATTAAAAGAATCTTTCTTTTTAATTTAATATAATATTTAAAATTATAAAATTACTCTAAGAGTTATAAAGTTAATTTAAAAATTCTTAAATTAATTTAAATCGAATTAAAGAGTCTCGAGTATAGTTTAAAATTCGAATCTAGCGAGATAATCTTACGAATTATCGTTAATTAAACTTTAAAAAGATTTTATATATAGAAGTTATATTAATATATCGAAAAGAGATACGTATATTCGATAAACGCCGAGAGGTAATAAATTATTTTCTTCGTACTATTATTTCGATTACTATTCTATTATATTAATATAATTTAATAAATATAATCTAGATCTATTATATAGAGTTTAATATATTATTTCTTTTATAAAATCGTTTTACGTAATTTCCTTTATAATATAAAAAGATCTAATATACTTTATAGAGGTCTATATCGAAAGTTCTATATCCGCTAAGACTCTTATACTTAGACTTCGAATAACGTCTTATCTAAAGGATTATCTAAATAATACGTCTAAAGTTCTTCGAAATCGTATCTAGCCCTAGTTAGATTTCGAGGTTTACTATCTCTATTAAGACTAAAAGAAGTATCTTAAGTCTTATTATATACTATAAGAAGATATTTTTAAACCTCTCTTCTATAGAGTCGCTTTTCGAAAGTAGGGTTAGGGCTATACTAGTACGGGTATAGAACTTTCGATATAGATCTCTATAGATCCCCTATATATCTTAAAAGTATTATCTCTATTTTCATTAATCTCTCGTCTAAAACCTCGATTTTAAATATTCTTAAGATATATAAAGTACGCTCGAATAGTCTTTTAGTCTTATTAATTATAATTATCTCGTAATATCTTTAATAGTATAGAGATAGAGAAAGAATTTATTAAAGTTATAGATATAATTCTATTAGTTCTCTAGTAATTATAAATAGTAGAAAAGTAAAAGATTCTTATATAGATTAAAGATTTTAAGCTCTAATATACTTATAGAGTATTAATAAAAATCGCGAAAATTTTAAATAGAGATATATAAATTAATATTATCTCGAAGTATTTTCTAAATAGTAATAGTTTATATAAGATTAAATATAATATATAAAGTAAGAAATAAATTACTTAAAAGATAATTAATAGCTATTTAATACTTAATTATTATTAATTAATACTCTAAAAATAATAGAATACGCTAGAGAAGATTATTACGTTTTTTAAGAAATATCTATCTCTTATTAATTTTTATAGCTTTTTTTACTACTTTAAGATTTAATTTAATTTATTCTTATTAGAAGTAGATAGAGTAGTAATTTAAGATATATTAAACTATTAATAGTAGAGTTATTTAATAATTAAAATAAGTAAGCTATTAAATATAGAAGAAGAATCTCGATTAAATTTATTATCTCGACGTCGGCGTTTATCGGATAGTACGAGTTTAAAACTATATAATAGTATAATAAAAGTCTATTCGAATTCTTTAAGTCTTCGCCGTGTAGCGAGGTGAGGAACTCGTCAGGGTTTCGGGTTTGGGTGGGCTCGAGGTGAGCTTTTGGGGGGGGATCCCCCAAAACTCACGCCTGAATTCATCGGATTTAAGACCGTGCATTACCGGGTAGATACGAGTACCCCTCCTCACTAGATATCCGGGTGCTGTATCCGGGCTGGTCGGGTTGGGCGCAGTCTCGGAGCGCTTAAAAGCCCGCGTATCTTGCTATCTACAGAGTGCATCACTCGTGACCAAGATCCTTGGGGACCGTCCTATACACACTCGCTTCCGTTGTCCGTGATAACCCGGAAGATGCCCCTAGAATAAGGTAGAGTGCATCGGGTCGGACACCCATCGTACCTGAAAGTTGTACCCTAGTCGTGGCCGGATGTGACGGGGCAAAAGTAGGTGTATAGGTATCACAGCTCTTTGTAGTCAGACAAACTACAAGTGTTATGAATGTTTAACGGGCAAGCAGTCAAATGAATCATAAGCATTGGATTAGATGCGTTCGATGCGTATCTGGCTTGTAAACCAACTAAACCTTTTTACTCCGACTGTTTTTGAGTCTTCGATGTAAGATGCAACCTAATTCGGAGACAAACCTGCCTGGCCGAGCTTCTAAGATGATGTGATGATGTGTTGGAAACTCGAGTGCCTACGGAGCCTGTCCGTGGCTGGTAAAGCAGCGTCTCCAACAAATAGAGCATGGCGAAAGGCGACGTGAGGTTCGGAGTGTTCCCACTGGTGCCACCCAAGTTACAAGCTTCCGGTATCAGTCATCGGCGCTTAGACACTTGCACGTGAATTGGACATACCAGTTTGATAGGTACAGTTGAAGCACAGGAACCTGGATGGGCGGGGCTTTGGAGGATAATTAGAGGCGAGGTTGCCGGGTTTGGCCGGTTTCGAGGCCGGAGACTCGGGCACATGTGCTCGAAAATACTTTTGAAGTGCCTAATGTGTTAGGGTCAAAGGCGGCATCTTGGGCTGCTAAGGGCGTCTTGGCCCCTTCGTACTTCCACATTGCAAGGCCTACCAGCGCTGCTGTTTCGCTTAAAGGTAGTTGGGAGTGAGTAGCCAGGACGCCCTGCGATAGGGTAGATAAGGCGTTGCTAGGGCTCGGTCTTGGGCTCCCGGCTAATAACGAGGTCCCTCTTAAGGGCACTTGCCCCCCAAAGTTTCCTTCAAAAACATCATCTCCGCCGAAACCCTCCACCCACACCTACGTTTGTTTACCCTATATCACTTATCCAAAACACTCATCATGGCGCGTCCCAAAAAGGCGGAAGAGAAACCAAAGGACTCTGGAAGTCTGCAGATCAGTGTCGAGGATTTTGTCCGCACCAGGAACTCGGTAAGCTTCACTCGTTTCCTTCACATCTGTGGGTTTGTCGCGACTCGCTTTTCCACTTCACAACCTCACCGCGTCTGACCACAACCACCGAGCCACCACCCACACCCACCACATCATAATGTCTACAATTCTTCCACATCAGCTCTATATGACCCACGATCAACGCGACGATGCACTACAAGCCGTTCATCTCCTTACCCTGCCTTGCCAAAATGTTTGCGACATAGCATACATGCTTGTTCACAACATCATGTGCGGCGCGATGAACCCGGAGCAAGGTCAGCTGACAATCGCGCCTAAGGTGGTCACTGGTTTAGCCACGCTCCAGTCGGCTGTCTCGGATCTCTCACGCGCGTACATCGCGCACACGGACACAGTCATTGGCAGAGGCAATGCTTCATCTCTTGAGCAGCTGAACATATCCAATCCTCTGAGTGGAGAGAACGGCCTCTTCGGTGGCCGTGGCCCTACGCCTGCCCCAACAACCGAAGCACCCCCAGAGGGCAAGAAGAGGAAGAGAGCTCCACATGACAAGAATGCGCCCAAGCGTGCTCTTACTCCGTTCTTCTTGTACTTGCAGACTGCCCGCCCAGCCCTTGCGACCGAGATGGGGTCAGGCCACACAGCTAAAGAGGTTCAAGACGAGGGAGGACGGAGATGGCGAGAGATGACCGACAAGGACAAAAGTGTAAGCTGGGCCGTCTCTGATTAATGTCGAGGCAATGATTAGGCTGACTTTTGTTCAAAGGAATGGCAATATAGATATGCGGTCAATTTTGCGCGTTATCGGGCGCAAACCGATGCGTACAAAGCAGGCAAACCAATCCCAGAGATTAGTGACGCCGAAGCAAAAAAGCTTTACGAAACCACGAAGAAGGATGGCAAGATACTTGCGCCGGCCGATCTCGACCCTGGCCACATCGACGAGGAAGATGAAAGTGACTCATCTACTACATCTGACGAAGACTCTCCAGAGCCAGTCAAAGCTCCCTCTCCCAAGCGGAAGAAGACTGCTAAGAATTCGGTCGAAAAGAAGCCACCATCGGCGAAACAGACCCCGGCAAAGGCACCTGAGCCAGCAGTCGCAGAGCCGACCTCACAATCTCCCGAGAAGACGTCGCTGGAGAAGAAGAAGAAAGCTTCGAAGAAGAAGGAGACGAAAGGTACCGGAGATATGACGGATTCGAAGAAGGAGGTTGTTGCCGAGCCAGCGAGCTCACCGTCCAAGCTGACAGGCCAAGATAGCCAGCAGAAGCAACAGAAGAAGAAGGGGAGGAAGCGCAAGAGCGAACCAGCCGAGACATGAGCGCCATTGTCGGTCAATGTCAACACATGCCTTAGGATTGAGGAATCTTCCAGGATTCTTGAGTATCTTGTGGGCTGAAGATGTAATTAATGTGCTGAGAGCCAAAAGTATCCTGTCGAATAGGGGTATAGCGAAGCGAGGCATGTTCATGCGGTGAGGAAAGGGTGTTTACTGGTCTCTTGTTCTCAATGGCTTGCTGGCGATCGTGCTTCTAAATCAAAGAATTGAATCGCACATGGAAGCAGGACGTTGCATGTCGAGCGATACGATCGATCAAAATCTACCACCATCGTTAATGATTTTGACAGGCACAACAGAGAGGCCGCAACCACTTCTAGATGGTGTCGGTTTCCACTACCCCGCGGCTCTCCCTGCAGTCAACCCCACCTCCCCACCTTTCCTAACATTCACGTCGAGTACTACTGAAGTACAAGTACTTTTTGCAAATTGCTTGAAAGCGCAAATTTTGTCGCGATCGTCAAAGCATGACAGTGAAGGGTGCCCAGATCCGACCTTTCCAATTACCGCACTAATATAATCATGCATCTCGTACCAAAGGAGGTAGTTCCTCCTCCCACTGTGCATATCCTACCTTAGCGTGACGCTGATACCCTCTCTCCACAGCTCGATAAGCTCGTCACCTCTCAATTGGGCTTGCTGGCTCAGCGTAGACTTGCTCGCGGAGTCCAACTGAACCATGCAGAGGCTACCGTATGCTTAGCCAGGCAACCCATCATCTTCTTTCTATATCTAACCGTCTAAGTACTAGGCTTTGATTGCTAGTAATCTGCAAGAGGTACCTCCTTTTCACATGTACTTACAGACACTGCTAATAAGTTGAGCACGCAGCTCATCCGTGATGGCAACCACTCTGTGGCAGATCTCATGTCAATCGGCAAAACAATGCTTGGGAGGCGTCATGTCCTCCCATCTGTTATTTCCTCTCTTGCCGAGCTCATGGTCGAGGGCACATTCCACAGTGGCACATATCTCGTGACCGTTCATCATCCCATAAGTTCTGATGATGGCGATTTGGAAAAGGCCTTATACGGCAGTTTTCTCCCCATCCCACCAACGCACCTCTTCCCAGTACCAGATCCTCAGGAATATGATACTGAGAGAACGCCTGGGATTGTTGTACCAGTCAAGGAGGGCAGAATTACACTGAAAGGGGGCAGGAAAAGGATGACACTGAAGGTGGTCAGCAAGGGAGACCGCCCGATACAAGTACGTATACTGTTGCTCGCGGTAGACCTCTTCACTTGCTGAACGTGGACCTAGGTCGGTTCTCACTATCATTTGATTGAAGCAAATCCCCAACTAGAATTTGACCGCCTCAAGGCCTATGGCTACTTCCTCGATATTGCTGCGGGAACGTCCGTTCGGTTTGAGCCGGGAGACACAAAGACAGTCACTTGCGTTGAGATCGGAGGCAAGAAGATCATTAGGGGCGGCAATGGAATAGCTTCTGGCCCTGTCGACCTTTCTCGCGCAGATGAGATTTTGAAAAGGCTACAGGAGGGAGAATTTGCACATACACCACAACCCGCAGGGGATAGCGCTCACATCGAACCTTCCACAATGAGCCGCGAGGGATACAACGGAATGTTTGGGCCAACCGTTGGCGATACTGTGCGACTCGGTTTGACAAGCTTGTGGATTAAGGTCGAGAAAGACTATACTGTGTACGGCGACGAATGCAGTTTTGGTGGAGGAAAGACATTGCGAGAGGGTATGGGTCAGGCTAGTGGCCGTTCAGACGTTGAGTCGTTGGATACTGTCATCTCGAATGCTCTCATCGTGGACTGGAGTGGAATTGTCAAGGCCGACATTGGCATCAAGAACGGGGTCATCGTTGGCATCGGCAAAGCAGGCAATCCGGACGTCATGGATGGTGTTGACCCGGCCATGATAGTAGGTTCCTGCACGGATGTCATCGCAGGTGAGGGCAAGATAATTACAGCTGGTGGTATGGACTCCCATATCCACTTCATATGCCCTCAACAGGCACACGAGGCTGTGGCTTCGGGCATCACAACCATGCTTGGAGGAGGCACGGGCCCAAGTACAGGTACCAATGCAACAACCTGTACACCCGGGAAAACTCATTTGCGCCAGATGCTTCAAGCCTGTGATGAGCTTCCCATCAATTTTGGGATTACAGGCAAAGGCAACGATAGCAGTCCTCGAGCCTTGCAGGAGCAGTGCATTGCAGGAGCCGCAGGTCTGAAGCTGCATGAAGACTGGGGTACGACTCCAGCCGCAATTGACACATGTCTCAGTGTTTGTGATGAGCATGACGTGCAATGCCTGATCCATACGGACACGCTTAATGAGTCAGGGTTTGTCGAGCAAACGATCAAAGCTTTCAAAAATCGAACAATTCACACCTACCACACTGAAGGCGCAGGAGGAGGGCATGCACCTGACATCATCTCCGTTGTAGAACATGGCAATGTTCTTCCTAGCAGCACTAATCCTACCCGGCCTTATACTCGCAACACTCTGGATGAGCATCTGGATATGCTAATGGTGTGTCACCATCTATCTAAGAACATCCCTGAAGATGTCGCTTTCGCGGAATCACGTATCCGTGCAGAGACAATTGCTGCCGAAGACGTTTTGCACGACCTCGGCGCTATCAGTATGATGTCCTCCGACTCGCAAGCAATGGGTCGTTGTGGGGAAGTCATACTACGGACCTGGAACACTGCACACAAGAACAAATTACAGAGAGGCACCCTGAAAGAAGACGAGGGTACAGGAGCAGATAATTTCAGAGTCAAGAGGTATATTAGCAAATATACGATCAATCCCGCAATCACCCAAGGTATGGGCCACATGATTGGAAGTGTCGAAATCGGCAAGTTAGCAGATCTTGTTCTCTGGAATCCGGCCAACTTTGGGACGAAGCCCACAATGGTCATCAAAAGTGGCATGATATCCCACATGCAAATGGTGGGTTCCTTTCGTTCGTTGGGCGTGTATGCACTCACCGTACTGATGCAGATGCACCTTTAGGGAGATCCCAACGCATCCATCCCCACCGTTGAACCTATTGTAATGCGTCCAATGTTTGCCGTAAGTCGCCACGTATGGCATTCTTTCCGCCCTAGTACTTATGTTCTCCATGGCAGACCTTCGTTCCCCAAACATCGATAACTTTTGTATCCAAAGCCTCTGTCGATACTGGGACCGTTCAGACTTACAAATTGCGCAAACGGATTGAGATTGTAAAGAATTGCAGGAACATTGGCAAGAAGGATATGAAGTTCAACGATTATATGCCAAAGATGAAGGTGGACCCTGAAACATACGTGAGCAATCTCGTTACCTTGGATGACGCACGCGCTGATGCGAAGGGTTGTAAATCTAGGTCGTCGAAGCAGATGGAGTGGCATGTAAAGCGGACCCTGCCACAGAATTGCCGTTGGCGCAGACGTACTATGTCTATTGAGAGCATCAAGTATGCAGGTATAAGGGGGATCCACAGAGCGTTGAGATTTGCACGCTTGCAAGACGAGGGCAGCATGCTTCGCTTGCTGGGGTATAACTGAAATATGTATAGGAAGCGTTGACCAGTATAATAAAATATGAGTTTATCCTTGCTCAACGCTAATGAAGCCATATCTGGTATTGCCAGCTTTCGTCGTTGAGGTTGCAACATCTACCTACATAAGCCAGTAAAAAGTGCCCGCCTTCAGAGATTTGTCTCAAACATGGAACAACTGCCTCTATTTGATACCCCTCTTGTAACGTCAAGTGATGAATGCGGACAATGCTCCGCGAACTGTGCTTCTGAATCACCCACTTCCGTCAACAAAGTACCTCGGAGAACATCAGCGTCTCGGACCGAAAGGGTTCTGCTTAAACTTCTCGGTTCATCGATTGCCATGCCTACAGTCAACAATCCTCCGTCAGAGCTCAACCTCTTCTTCCCCGTGATGAGCGTTTGAGGAGATAAGCCCTTGATCAATTCCCCAGATACCTCTGGGCTCTTTCGCTGCTTTGTACGCTTCCTTCCTCTGTTGCAACTTCATTGCTTTGATGTCTGGGTTCGAGTCATGCGATGACTGAGATTCAAAAGCGGCATCCGACAGCGTGACCTGCGTTTCGGGATCTAGTTGGCTTTCATTGAGGGCGTTTGGCATATCGTCTGGCTCAGGCATCTTCTCTAGCAGAAAGTCGCCCGCTTCGTTGCCCTGGCTGGAAGGATCACCGTCGGATAGCTCGATCGGCTCAGCTTGTGTCCCATGACGCACATCTACTGGACGATTGGCCAAACGCCTGTTTCGAAGGGTGTCTGCGTTCGGATCAATTTTCAAGTGGGATGCTGCAGAAGACTCTTGGTGGCCATATATAGCGGTCCGTGACGAGCTCGTATAATCGCCAGCATGACTGGACGGTGGATCAGTGGACTTAGGAGTCAGTAAAATCTTCTCTCTCTTGCTTTGTCTGAGATATCCTCTGAAAGATTGCCCGAACTCGGGTAGCTTTCGTTTCGGAGACAACACTTCGATCGGTAGACTCCTCGTGTCAAGCTCGCCTGGGTGGTTTCCTGGGAACGCTGGGCTAGTACACGGGCGCTTTGGCACGCGCTCCAGATCGTCAAGGGTGTGAGATTCGGGATCTGATGCGGATCTGAGCAGGCTCACTGGACTTGTATTTCGATGATCGACGCTTCCCTCTCTAGAAGATGTCATAGTCTGCGAGTCACGATCGTTCCTACGTTTTTCGAGAGTTTCCCGCTGGCTGGCAAGCATTTTCATCTCTTCGTCATGAGCGAACGTAGAACCGAAGCATAGGTGGCCAAAAAGATCCTTCACACTTACGTCCAAGTCCATATAATCTTCGTTAATGGTGCATGGATAGACATCAGCGGGCTCAAATGCCTTTACAAGATCGCAGAGCTCTTCATACGAAGAGTGCCTTGAGTATGGGAATTCCTACGTAAGTAAGTTATCGTATGTACTTGTCCAAAGTCTTGACAACACTGACAATACTTCTTGGAAGTTCTTGCCTCACAGAGGATGTTTGCAGCGTCTTTGCTCTACCCCTACCCACGCCCCTGCTTGGAGTTTCAACTCTTTCGTCAATCAGGCTGGTTGCGCCGTCTTCAACAGCAACAAGCTTAGCGAGAAGCTTTGAAAGCTCTGCTAGTGGCATCGTCTCAAGGTTGCCGTTGAAATCAAGAGTATCCAATGAGACGACCATCTTCTGAGTATTCTTCGCCTTGATTATGAGATCGATGGTATTTGATCGGGTTTTCTGGTCTAGAATTTCTTTTGTGCACAACTCGATCAAGGCTCCTACAGCAGTGGCATCGTTGAGCTCAAGCTCGTGCACTTGATTGAGGTCCCCACCGCCTCCTCCAGCGTCGATCTCACTTCAAGATTTCAGAGTCAGCATTTCTTCTTCGAGACGAGATCGAGGAATCAACTATCGGTGGAGTTACAGACCCTCGAGTCTTTTCTTGTGACTCAAACGCTTGGACGAACTGGGAACGAAACACTACAAAAAGCGAACTTACGGTAGGACAAGCCCTTCAACAGAGCGCGAAATAATCGGTCGAATGAAGACAATGTTGGACGCCTCCAATTTGCTGCAGCCCATGTCGTGCTGGCAACTGTGCAAGCGAACATTACTTTTGTGCGTCAAGCACCCGTCTTGGAATTTGTTACCACACTCAAAGCCATATAGTGCAGAGCCTTCGTGGCAAAGGTTCTTGTTTTTGGCAGTAGTACCTAGAGACTCGTACAAAGAATACTTGTATTCATCTACGTGAATCTAGCGTTGTGTAAGCTCTCATCCTTGTCAAACCATCAAGAAAGAGCCAAACCCGAGATCGCAAGGCACTTGATAGAGCAATCCAAACGTCCTCGTAGCCGAAGGTCCAGGCATGGAAGTGAAAGACAGTGTCGATTGGGTACTTGGAGACCTTCTCGAGCAGCTCTTTTAGTCCATCTGCTTTCGATGGGAACCTTCGGCAGTGGTGTTTCTTGGAAGCGAAAGTCGTGTCCAGGTAGATCTTGTCTAAACGCTTAAGGCCATGGGTGTATGGAAGGATGACAGGGTTTCGGACCAAAGAATTAACCCACCAAGGCTCGGCTAGACTAAATGTGTCAAGGCGTACTATACCATCACGACGTGGAGCTTACATCGAATGTCACCGGTGTAAAGAATTGCCTTGGTGTCGTTTTCGATAAGGAACATGACGGCGCCGGCACAGTGGTTTGCCTACATCTTATCAGCACAATTCTTCTACAGGCACGAGAAATTTACATCTAGCAATGTGACTCTCAGAGACTTCCCCGGCTTTAGCTCAACCTCTGTTGGAGTGTTCAAGGCTATTGTCTTCTGAACACACATGTAAGCTTCTTGCGTTGATTGACAGCGAGGAAAACTTACAAGTAATTTACTAAGATGCTTGTATTGCTGTTTCCTTAACTCCAAAATACCGAGGTGAAAATTCATGCGATGCGGGTACTTTTCAAGACGGAGCAGGAGCTGCGCATTTGTCAGGGCTTAATTGATGGAACTCCAAGACGCAATACATACCTCTCGAGTGGTTGGGGAACAGTAGATGAACGGAGAGCCTGCGCAGATTTCGGAGTAAGTGTTGCTGCTACAGGGCCAGATACTGAATCGAAAAGGACCTTGAAGGGACCTTCTTCTCCCCAAACGGATGTTGAGACTCAGAGCTTGGTAACAAGTAGAAAGGCATCAATACAAAATGCACGTACGGAGAGACTCCAGACCTTGGAGATGGTCGCTGTGTACATGACTGAGAAAGCATGCGAGCGGATTGTCCCTCCCATGAACTTTTCGAAAGTAGTCAACTTGTACCAGGTCAGTGACGCAGGTGTGATAGCCTTTAAGGAGACGAACTTCGAATTCCAGGAAACTCTGGAGGTCTGTGAGCCCGTGTGCATAAGACATGATGGGATGCATACCCTCTACGACTCCCTTGAATGTAGACATCCTGACACTCTTGCGGCCGGTGCCCTCCTTAAGTCTTTGGCCACTTGCCAGCATGCAAAGCTTCCAAGCAATAGTTTTGCCTCGCTCATGACCTGATTAGGTTATTTCAGGACGCGAGCAGGTGTGCGGCGCAGATCTAACATGGTTGAATTGATGAGGGAAAGGAAATTCGGAACCCAGAACAAGGGACGTGTTAGACAGTAGTGAATGTCTGTATCAAGCATGGGTGTATTTGCCAGGCGGTCTTTGAAGTCTACGACACACTTTAGAGCTATTTGAAGTAGAGTGTTTGGATGACTGGGAGCCATGTATTGCGGTAAGGAAAGGAACAAATAGTGTCCTTGCGAATGGTACCTTACGTAGTAGTAGAACCTTTGACTCGGTAAAGTACTTACCACTTACTACCGATTTAAGGACTTATGGTCTCGTGGCAGGACTGACATGCACATTTTCCTCGAGTACTCGTAGTCTCTAAGTAGCACTACTGTCCTCTATGGGTGCAAGTGGGTTCGGGGGGATTGTTGCATTAGTGGGCTCGGATAGTGAGAGAAATCAAGCCAAAGAGAAGTTCAGAGGCGCCCTGATCTGCAAGCGAGACAATTTTGGCTTTTGACTGAGGGGACCCAGTGATAATATTAGGAAGGCGCCAGAGGGCCGCAAAACTACACACTTCGGATACATCTAGGTACAATCTTACATATAGAGGCACCTGGAACCACACCTTTTCGAATTACATGCGGTGAGACTGTATAGCCAGTCGTATGGTCCGTACACACCCCGATATAACGTTAGCATCATGCATTCGCCTTAGTTCACCGCATAATCTGACGTCTAATCATCACTCATTCGTCCTCATTCCTTGCACATATTTCCGGGCCTCCCTCTAAAGTCGCCGCAGGACACCACAAGTACATGACTCTAATTCGAATGCTGCTGCCCAGTGGATCCCATCCGGTGCACATGTGATATACTTGTCACATCCCCCCCCCAGATCCTGCTAGCATCCACCTCAAAACCAGAAATCCCGACTTCGCTTGGACATCTTTACAAGTCCTCACTCTTGGACCCTGGCAAGCGTTGCGACTCCTCCCTCCTCCATTATCCAACGGTCTCTTTGCCCATCTGACCACTATTGGTCGGGTACCTAGACCTTACCGTAGACTAACATAGAAAGACGTGGAGGTATTATTGCCATCATCCAAGTCGAAGGTTTTCCATCCTCACGCCCTAGCCCATCATGAAGAAACCAAGGACTGAAGAGCTCGTCATGTCACGACTGTTCCCGCAGAGGAAGGACATCGATTCCAGTGATTGGCAGACCCACATCAGACGCAGTCTCATTCAAGAAGTCCGTGCGGAAACCGTCTGTTTCTACGGGCCTTTCGATTGCCTCGAAGCCCAATATCCCGGTCTAGACTATGCTAAACCCGCTCATCGTCTGCGTCTCAACCGATTTCCGTCCCACCGAAAACTTTTCAGAGTCTTTGATGAGTTGAGGCTGACCCATTACGAAATACATAGACTGTGTAACTGGGAGGGTACACGGTGGGCTAGGGAGACATATGAGGCCAACAATAGGGTCAAAATAAAGGACACTACCTGGAACGGTGTTCATGATCTCAGGCACAAGAGGACCACTGTCACAGTGGCCCCAATCTGGACTGGGGAAAGACTAGAGACAGAGCCCGGAGAAATTTCGGACAACGACGTAGAATCTGAGGGTGAAGATGAGGAGATGAGAGACTCAGATGAAGGCGACGAGCTTTCTGATGAAGAGAGTGGGGAAGAGAGCGAGGACGAGCTGCAGCGAAGCGTTGGTGTGGATCTCAACCAGAGGCTCCTTGTTGCTACCGAGGCACGAGCAAGGGGTGAAGAGGCAATCATTGACGCGGACTGGGAGCAATGGCTTAAGGAAGCAGCGGAGAGGGGCGACCTTCCTGAATTTTCCCATATGCTCAACCCAACGTTGACGCCGGCAGCTCCGTCCCAGACTTCGGTATACTGGGGGCGAGAGATCCCAGAATACCTCAGTGAAGATTCTACAACCTTGCAAGCCCGCCTGCCGCCACCACCGCAGTACTTTCCCCAGGTCGAAGCAAATTCCGCTATAGCTACAGCCGTGGCAATCCCGCCGGCTGTACGCCCCACGGGTGCCGCATTGTAAGGGAGGGAGCACAGAACACCTGAATTTCTAATAGTACATATAGTCTACTCGGTTTGGATTCTGCATCTCTACGGTTTCACGAATGGATCATGAGCGGATGGCGTTTTGGCTTCACTCGTGGTCATGGACGGGCAAGAGGCATGCCGGGCGTTCTCTACATCTGCACAAGTGCGGCTTTTTCATTCTCTTAGCTACCTGGCATGCATGACACGCGCTGCATAGGGTCCTGTTGAAGCATATATGGGCCCCAATTATCAGTTTAGAAGGGTAAAAAAATACTGTAATTTTGATAGAGGCGAAGCGATTTCACATTGAGCAAAACCTTTTCTCGAAGTGAAATGCCGAACAGGAGACACGTAACGCAAAAATGCCTACAAGAAACATTGTAAGACTTCAAATCAATATCCTTGTTCTAGTTATGGGCTACAAGTGAGTGGTGAGAGGGTCGATCACTTAGGCTTAACATCTGTCTGTCTAACCGAATCGTCTCGTCACTTCCCTGGAAAACTCCCCGAAAGTGGTCCCTTTGGCTCTGTCCACCACTTCATCTAACCCGGGTTGCGTGAATCTTCACCATTTCGTTGTCAGTATTACCAGTTCAACACAAGTTTGGAGTTACAGGACATGTTGGAGGGGCTTTAGAACGCAACAGTCGACTTTTCGCTCCCGCAATATGTATTTAGACTCAAAAGAAGATATAAAAAGTGAGCACATCACTCTGAACGGGTGCTTACACGGCTAAGGTGTTCCTTGCCACTCTAGTTCCATCCTTCACGGCTCCTCCAGCACGCACAAAATGAGGTACGGCCCTGAATTTGCCCCCTGTGATAATCTGTAATGCTTCGCCTGTCTGGAAGGCTAAGCAGTCCGGAGGGATGGAGATTTTGGTGACAGTGGAATCGCGTGCGTGTATGTAAAGGCCCGCGTCTGGGTCTGGAGCCGACGGAAGAAAAGGTAAAGCCGGTACCGTAGACGAAGGCTTGGTTCGATCAGACATGGAAATCTGAGGAGGATGTGCTGCCTCGTCGACATAAATGGCAGACGTTAAGCCGGTCAGGCAGCCGTCTTGATAGCATCAGCTTCAGGGCGTCTTTCCTGGGACTAGACTTGGGTTGAAAGCCATGTTCCGGTGTGGTTTACTCCCGAAACAAGTGTTGCAGCCCAAATACAGTGCCAATCAGGAGAAAATACATCAGAGAAGATAACTTACGATCGATGTGAGTTGCGCACCAGGAATCATGGTCTCGTGCTGTAGAGGCCGGGGGACACGGGCTGATGTTTGTAGCCTGAAGGGATTGGGAAGAGGCTGCTGGGGGGAAATAGTGCAACAAGCGGGCCTTCGTTATCATGGAGCTTTTCACAACCTGTTCTAGATATCCAGGCTCATAATCTTCGATGTGGGCTACAGCATACTGGTCACATGTCCGGGCGACTAACACGGCAGTGTCGATTATCAAGGTGCAGAGCTCCTCAAAGGCGACTTGGAAGCCTGGCAGGGAAGTCTCAGCTGGCCAGACATTGGGTGCTGTGAACTCTGGGAAGTCGACCGAGGAGGGTACCGTGACGCCCTCTCCTTGAAAGAAAGCGCAGTTGACATAGTATGACCCTTTCAGTGTATCGTACGAACCGCTTTTGAGGGCCTCTTTGCCATGACTCCATCCGCTAAGATACTTTGCTGAAGGGCGGGAAAGAGCATCTGACGAGAATGAGCAGAAGTACATTGCTTTCGAATTTCAGGAAGTTGAATGAAACAGGTGACTGGTCTCTACAGCATAGAGAATATATACCTAGCTCTCCCGTGGGTAGATTAGCGAGATACGACGCGTACGAGAGGACCTTATGACGAAGGCGGGAAAACCGTTGAGGCAGGTCCTTAACAATTAAGATACCTAGAGAAGAGGGGCCAAACGCTTCTTCCAAGATGTGGAACGGCACAGAAGCTGGGAGATGAATCAGATGTTTGCTTAAGTTGGAGATTCGATCAACTGACAGTGCTTGAGATCTTCTAAGCTCACTATGACCGCGTTTCGAGGTTCATACATGCCTCCAAACTTTGTCATCTACTTATCAACATTCCATATTCGGTAGCATCAAAATTCCTAAACGGGTACCACGGGCTTCACTCACGGTAAGACTACCTCAAAGTCAAGGCCTGAACTTCTGAAGGTCAAGCTAGCTTGGAGATAGGCCCGGGACGAGGACGGGCCGTATGGGTATGGGCGGCTGTGTGCGCCTAATTACGGCGGACGAGGGCTGACACTACGACAAAACCAAAACCAATTTTTTTTCTTTAATTTTTTTTTTCTTCCCGCGACTTTGAAAAAATATTTAAAGAGATTTCTTTAAGTTAGAGGATTCTTTATGGGGTATGTAAGGGGATTAAAGAGATTATTCGAGGGTATACTTTCGAAGATACTCGAGAAGAGTATTTTAGAGAGCACTTAGAGGGTTACTCGAGGGGTTTCTTACTTTAAAATCGATAGAGGAGTTTTACTAATCCTCTTCGAAGAGTCTTAGTATTATTATGGGCGGAGAATATTTCGACTCATATTAATAAGGTATAGGGTATAAGTAGCTATAGTATAAAATAAAATCTTATTTTATAGAGATCTAGAAGTATTTTTAAATCTTAGAAGATTTTTCGCTTAGAAGATCTCTAAATTAGAAGTATTAGAATCGATATAGATATAATATTAATATAGATATATTAAATAAGATAACTAAGATATCGAATTATATAGATGAAAAGAAGATATAATATAATAGAGAATATCTTCGTTAAGGCTCGCTAGTTATAAGATTAAGAGATATATTAAGAATACGCTTATAATACTATTCTCTCTCTTCGTTAAATTATATCTCATAATTAATAAGTAAAAAGATAGAAAAATAAGTATATATATACGCTTAACGTCTGAAAAAATAATAAAAGTAGTAAAGAAATAATCGTATTCGAAAACTCTAGTATTATATCTTTCTTCGTAAGAGATATTAAGAATAATAATAGCTTTTTATATTTATATTATAGCGACGTCGCTAGTCGAGATATAGATATATATAAAGAGTCTAGCTAAAAGAAAATTAATATAATATAGCGAAAATTATATCTATAAGCGTAGGTGTAAATAATAATAATTTTCGAATTTATATTTAAGCGAATAAGATATCGATAAAATAATACGACGTAATTAATTAAGAACTCTTAAATTAAATTAAGTTATAGACGCTAAAACTCTAATCTAATATTAAGTAACTTTAATATAATCTTCTCTATAATATATTACTTAACTAATATCGATTATATTTTATAATAGCGATAACGTAGTCTATATATATACTAATATAGCTTTAAAAAATTTTTTAAATTTTTTTTATAAAAAGGGGTTACAAAAAAAAAAAAAAAAAAAAAAAATTTTTTTAAAAAAAAAAAAAAAAAAAAAATTTAAATTTTTAAAAAAAAAAAAAAAAAAAAAAAAAAAAAAAAAAATTTTTTTTTAAAAAAAAAAAAATTTAAAAAAATTTATAAAAAAAATAAAAAAAAAATTTTTTAAAAAAAAATATAATAGTAGAAAATCAATTACTACCACTGTAGTAGATTCATGAGTTAAGTATAAGATAATTGAGATTCTATAAAGAAATCTGCTAGAAAGTAGTATCTGCCAAGGCGCTATTATAGCGCCATCTCCTATCTCTCCGTTTCTGCCATATTCATAACAGATACCGCTATTAAAAACAAGAAAGAAAGCAACGCCCTCGGTGCCTTCAAGTAAGTTTTTTCTTTAAAAAAAAGAATGTTAAGAATTGTAGAAAAGGAAAGCAACGCCGTCGGTGCCGGAAGTAAGTCCCTTCTTCAAAGAAAGTCATTGCTTCGAAGAAAGTCATTGCTTTAGCACGGACTTCCTGATCCTTCCCAAGAATGTTAAGAAAGCCGGTCATTTCCTTAATCAATTCAATCGCAGGAAGTACAGACGGGAATCAAGACTTTCCATGCTATACTCCTATCCTGATATATTATTGATTTAATCTTCTAAGTCGTAGCCTAGCCTAAATTATTATCTTATATTATTCGATTAATTTTATAGTATCTTTAAGATTATTAATATCGTATTATATATTATATTTATTTTTATAATTCTTTCACTTAACTAAGTATTAAATTTTATCTCTAGATTTCTACTTCTCTAATAGAGTAATTAGAGTCTCGATCTCGTAGATATTCGTAATAATATTATCTTTCTCGACTTTAAAAATAGTAATAATATAAATATATATATAAGAATTCTTATAATTAGTAGATTTTAATTATACTATTAAAATAATTAAGTAAATTCTTATTAGTAAAGAAAGCTTAAGATAATAAGTAAGCTTTTCGACTTTATTAAGAATCTTAAAGGAACTAATTCGCTAATTATAAAATTTATAATTATTTAAATTAGAGATCTTATATTTATAATATAAGCGTAGAAAGATTATACTATCTTTAAATATATTAAGAGCTTTATATATACTATCGTAGTATATTTTAATTATAATATTAGTAAACGCTATATAATTCTCTATTTACTCTTATTTTATTTATTATAAACGACTAAAATCTTCTTATAATAATTTAATTAATATTCTAAAAATATTACAAATATTAAATTTATAAAGAATCTAGTTCGATAATACATCTATAAATTAATTCTTAAAATTATTTAAATTATTTATAAGATATAAAAGTATAAACGTTTAATTAATTTTAGAATTAGCTATAATAAAGTAGCGAAACGCGATTTCTATAATTTAATTTATACGCTTAAATTATTTATTAATTTAAGAGTAATAAACTATAAAAGTAAGAATTTTTACTCTTAGTTTCTTAAAGATAATTTATTAGAATTCTAATATAAATTTAAAATCTCTATTACTAATTATAATTAATAAAATATTTTATTTATATTAAATTAAGATAATAAGTAAAAAATCAGCCTACTCGATAGTAATATAGGTCGTTTTCT